TTGGTAGAAGGGTCAAAGAAAAAACATGTTAAACATGTAGAAGATGACACTGAAACTAGGGAAATTGAGGAATTGGTTGATTCACCTCCACTTAGAATAGGCATTGAAAGTAGTGGCAACAAGAGAAAAGCTCCTGAAGCTGGGAGGGTTGACAATTATTTTGCTCCTAGGACATCTTCTGGTTCCCAACCAAGCCTCAAGAGTGTATTGTCAACTAAGGAAGCACAATATAATGCCAAGATGGTTATTGCTCAATGGGCTATTGTTAATTGCATTCCATTTAATGCATTGGATTGTCCTCTTTTTCAAAAAGTTGTTGATGCTATTGCTGCAATTGGGCCTGGTTTTAAAGCCCCTAATGCTTATGATTTTAGAGTTAACTTGTTGAAAGATTGGAAGAAGGAATGTCAGTTATTGATTGAGAGTCATCGTGCAAAATGGAAGGAAAATGGTTGTACACTCATGGCTGATGGTTGGACTGATGTTAGACAAAGAACTTTGATTAATTTCTTAGTCTATTCGATACATGGCATGGTATTTGTGAAATCAATTGATGCTTCAAATGTAGTTAAGGATGCTAAAACTTTACTCTCATTATTTTGTGAAGTTATTGAGTGGGTTGGTCCTGAAAATCTAGTTCATGTGGTGACTGACAATGCTGCTAACTATGTGGCATGTGGTAAACTGATTAAAGAGAAATATAAAACTATTTATTGGTCACCTTGTGCAGCTCATTGCTTGAATCTTGTCTTGAGAGATATTGCTTCTATGCCTCATGTGTCAAATCTTGCAACAAAGGCATCTAAAATCACTATATTTGCATATAATCATACAATCTTCTTGTCATGGCTAAGGAAAAGACCGGGTTGGAAGGAAATTGTTCGCCCTGGTGCAACAAGGTTTGCAACTACATTCATTACCTTGCATAGCATATATTTGCACAAGCATGATTTACAAGCGTTGGCTATTGATAAACATTTTGTGGATCACAAATTGGCAAGAACTGAAGCTGGAAGAACTTTCAGTGCAATTGTATTAGACAATCGGTTCTGGAATGAATGTTACCAAGTTGTGAAGATTGTGTCTCCACTTATGAGACTTCTGAGGATTGTTGATTCAGATGAAAAACCCTCGTTGCCTTATGTATATGAAGGGATGCAAAGGGCTAAAAATGGAATCAAGGAGATCTTTCAAAGGAATAAAGAGCTATACAAGCCTTACACTAACATTATTCAAGCTCGATGGGACAAGCATTTGAAGCAAGAACTTCATGCCGCAGCTTATATGTTGAATCCTGCATTTTTGTATAATCCAACTTTCATCAAAAAGAACAGATTGCAAAAAGATTTGATTGATGTCTTTGAGTCTTTCTCAAATGAAAATCTTGATTTTTGTACAATGATGCAGCAAGTGTTTATCTATCGTGATCGTAAGGATTCTTTTGATAGATTTTCATGTGAAAAAGCAGCTCAAAAACTAGATCCTCGTAAGTATATTTATATCATGTTTAATAGCACATATTAATACATATTTAATATCAAATATATGAATATAACTAAATATCTTTTATTCTATTATGCAGATCAGTGGTGGTCATTTTATGGGAGTTCAATTCCGGAATTGCAACAAGTTGCAATACGTATTCTTAGCCAAACATCTTCTTCTTCTGGATGCGAGAGGAACTGGAGCTTATTTGAGCGGATTCATAACAAAAGAAGAAATAGATTGGAACATGAAAGGTTAAATGATCTGGTTTTTACAAACTACAATCTGAGATTAAAAGATAGGTAATATTAAAAATTTTGATTTATGAATGTTTTTATTGAATATTGCTTATTTGCTTTTATTGAATATAGAATTCATTAATGTTGATTTTCTTACATTTTGTTATTGAAGGAATCTATTGAACAAGAAGAAGACAAATTATGATCCTATTGATTATGAATCAATTGATAAAGTTGATTTTTGGGTGGTTGAAGATGCAACTCCTGAATTTGATAGTCTAGATGAAATAAATTTTGAAAGAGTTGCCAATAATGAAGACATTGCAACTACATCAACTTTTGAGATTGAAAGGCATGATGAAGGTTTGTAATAAATTAATAATCTCTTCTGTTATAGTTTCATTTTTATACAAAAGTGTATAACTATTTTTTTCACATAACCATTAACAATTTAATTGTTGTCATGTATAGGTGATGAAGACATGCATATTCCTGAGCCTCCACCTTTGAATGATGATGATATTACTCCAAGTGCTTGTGCTGGTCCTTCTGTAGCTTCTTCACCTCCTCCTAGTGTCTCAATGCCTATGGATTTAAATGAAGTTAATGATAATTTTGGTGTGGATAATTATTAGTTGGTTTAGTGATTGAATCATTATAGGTGCCAATATATATATCTATTTTGATAGTTTTCTAGGATGAATATTTAGTATTTTGGTGACATGGGATGGCATTATGCCATTATGACAATGTGATGTTATTTTGTTATGTAAAAAAGTTAAAACTTCAAAATATATTGTAAATATATGATTATGTTTTTGGTAATTTAAGGTATTAAGTTGGTGTGATAAGAATTTTAATTATTTTTTAATTTTTTTAATTCCTCACCGGTCTGACTCCGGGTCAACTCCGAGCTGACCCAGTAACCCTTGACCCACTGCCTTGACCGGTTCAGTTACCGGTCCGGTTTTCAGTACCTTGGTAATAAGAGATGGAAGGTTCCGTATGAAATACTATAAACAAATTGAACTCCTATCCCAAAGGTTGGACCTCAGTCAAAAAATGAGCTACACTAAATATATGCTATAAACACAAACTAAAAAATCTAGGATTTTTTATTTTTTTATCTCATTCTAATCATTAAGCATAAATATTAATAAGAATTAAAAAAAAGAAAGAAAAGAATAATTAAGGGGAAACATGAAAGCATAACAGTGAAACCTTGGTTTCTTTAATTTTCTACATCATTAGTCAAATCCTCCTAGGCTCATTGAAAATGGCTGAAGCACGAGCTACTCTCACCTATTAAGAGAAAGCTTTAAACAAGGACCTGCTCGGCTTAGAGTTGCCTCAACATAGCCTTAGTTTTTTTTTAAAAAAATTATTCATCCTCAAATTTAGTGGCTTGGCACATTACTGTACATACCATTATATTAGTCAACAACAGCCAAAGTGGCACAAGAAAACAAAAAACAGAAAAATAATGTGATTAAGAAATTTACCAGTCATCTTCCTCTTCCTCTAGACTTGTTAGATACAACATATGCCTAGTAATAACAGCATGGAAATTGCACCCAAAGATGAGTAGTTTATATATGTACTCATTCAAGTAGTTATACCTTGAAAGCAACCATGAGGCACTTCACAACGTGAAATTATTGACAACACCAAAAAAAAAAAGCAAATTAAACTTCATTTATATATGTAATTGTATAAATACTATGGAGCAAAACATGGGGAAAGTTTGTATCATGGTCTTCTATCTGTTCCTTATTCGTTAGGATTAGCAATTATGATGGAGATCTAAGAGACCGATGGATTAGTACAAAGAAAGGAAGGAGAAAAACATGGGAGAGGTATGCATACTCATCACCCTCCTACCATACTTGATTGCTTTTTCATATGCCACACAAAACTTAGCACCAAAAAAAAACATCAGCATTATCTGCATTTTTTAGTAACAGCAATTCCTGTAAACAAATTCATATAGTTCAGAATAGATGGCAATGACTCACCGTTTCCATTTCACCATTTATAACGAGAGGGCTTAATCAAACTTCTTTGGGCTGGTTGATGTGCACAAAATCTCGGCCTGCAGTAGCGGTTTCAAAAGCTTTTGACAATGGCCGGTGAGCGGCGAGAATTAGCAGCCATGGAAGCTTTGACCTTGGATATTTGGTGTGGCTGGGAGATGTGATTGACTGTGAGAGTAGAGAATTGCAGGGGCAATAAAACAAACGCGACTCGGGTGATAGAGATTTGAGCGTAAGTGGTTAGGCCTAAACGACGTCGTTTACGGTAGTGGATGGGAAGTGAATAGGAAGGTAGTGGAGAGAAACGGATCTTGTTATAGGGGGATTGGTATCTTTTAATCCCATCATTGTAAGTTTACTTAATCTCATATAATAAATAATTATTTATGTTAAATGTTTTTTTAATAATTTTTCTCAATTGCAATCTCAGTTTTTATTTCTCATTTTTAATGTTTTGCATCAAACAGAACTTATGTCTCTATGGTAGATTGGAGAATGAATGGCAAAAAATTTCTCCAATCAGGCATGCAAAGAGAAACATGTTGTAAACAAATTTAAAAAAAAAAAAAAGGGAAACATGTAGAGGCTGATTTTTTTTTTAACCAGCAACATGTAGAGGCCGATTGAATATTAGGATGATATTTCGGCAAAAAGTTTGTCTGAAAATAACACAACAGCACAAAAGAAACCGTCGGGCCTTGTCCTTGCTCGAAAGCCATGGCCAAGAACAAGAACTTGCAGTGGTTTCGACTCACATCCTAGTAGCTTAGAACATCCTATTCATTCTTTCTATGAACTTCGCCAAGAAGCCGATATTGTCACGACCTTTATTGCAATCCTCCAACTCAATTTGATGGGAAAATTTTCAGATAGAAGGGATGGAATAGAGGCGAAAAAAATGGAAAATTTGGGGAAAAGGACCTAATCAGCAAATTAATTGGGGGAAAAGACATGATCCGGAATCTACAATCTATCTTTCACAATCTGCGTATTATCTTCTATCATTCTTCACTTTTCTACCTGAGCTTAATAATAATAATAATAATAATAATAATGCGTTTTCCTCTTCCCCCCCCCCCCCCACGCGGTTAAAGACTAAAGAGAAGGCCCTTTTGTTTCCAAGCTTGGCTGCACCATATTAAATATTTAGTGCCAAAGAAATAACTATAGCTGCACTTCTCTGCATCTCCTACTTTTGACGATCATCGATTTAACCTAAAGACAACATAATTACGGGCTGAGATTTTGGCAGTTTAAAGCCAAATTTGTGCAAATTGATTATCTGAGGTTTTTCTTGTCCCCGGCAGGCATCATTAATTCTGTACAGTATTTTTAAGGAGATGGACAACAGATTACTAAATTAATCATCAGCAAAGACAGCTATGTTGCAACTATGGAACAAGAAAAGGAGCCATTATATGTATTTAGTATTCACATTGCTGGAGGCTTTCCACAAAAATGAGCTGGCGAGTGCTCATCACTGAACTACATTTCCCAACAAGCTGTTTGCTGAGGGTGAACTTTGTCCACTTAACCAAGGATCATGCACTGATACAGGAGAGCTATCCTTCACTTTTTCCGCAGAATGCTGTATTTTATCCATCCTCTTGTGACTCATTGATCTCTTGCTCCCTCGTTCTGCTTTCTTAAGAGCAACACAATCCATCGACTTCTCACTTCCAATGCGAGGTGAGGAACATGAGGAGCCAACCGATGATGCTGTGAATAGAGTTTCTTCCATTGTTGCCCATCCACTGCGTCTGATATGTTCTAGCTCCTCTGCCACTTCCAACATGGTAGGTCTCATGTCACTATGATAAGCAAGGCATCTAAATGCAAGCTCAGCAACCTTGTGAACAGAGTAGAGTGTCCAGGCATCCCTGTGAGGCTCCAGAAAAGGATCTATGATCTCATCCACAGAGCCCCTTCTGATCTTATCCACAGCAAGTGCAGCCAAATTAACCTCACTATGGGGTCGAGCAAAATCAACCACTTTCAGGGCTGTTATTATCTCTACCAAAACCACTCCAAAACTATAGACATCACTTTTATCAGAAAGATGGAAGTTTTGGTGGTATTGAGGGTCGACATAGCCTGGAGTCCCTTGTGGAGCAGTTGAGATATGTGATGTTTCTGTCATACCAAGCCTAGAAAGCCCAAAATCTGCTACTTTCGATTTGAAGTTGTAATCTAAGAGTATATTAGTGGATTTTATGTCCCTGTGATAAATTGGGGGATCCATGGCAGAATGAAGATATGCTATAGCATTAGCAGTTTCAGTGGCAATGGTGAGTCGTATTGTCCATGGAAGTCCGTTTCCCCTCTCTCTTTGTAAATGTTGGGATAGTGTTCCATTGGGCATAAACTCATAAACAAGTATCTGCTCACCACCCTCTATGCAGCAGCCCAAGAGGCGAACTAAATTAGGGTGACTTACAGAAGAAAGAAGTTTGATCTCGTTCATAACTCGGTCAACACTGTTGGTGTCTCTATACTTGATCTTTTTAATTGCAACGCATTCACTATCGTGTAGTTTTCCTGCATATACCGTGCCAAAAGCCCCTGTTCCCAACCTCTGTTCATCTGAGAAAAAATTAGTGGCTCTTTCTATTTCTTTGTACGGGTAAAAAGGAATAATAGAGTTGCCTGCAGCTTCACGTAATAGGCGCTTCACTGTCATTTGTTTGCTCAAACAAATGTAACGGCGCCGAGCAAAGTAACATCGAAGACACACACCAAGCAGGATGAAAGCTACAACAATGACCCCTACAAACAACCATGGAGCATCCTGTAAAAATGTTACCGAAATGGAATTCTAAAGTATCTTCTTTTTATACAGATTTGGGACGAACTCATTGACAAATTAGAAAAAGGAGAAAGGAAGAGCCAAATAAGAAAGAGACCAAAACTGATACTAGAATTTGGAATCTTGAAGACGTGTATTAACCAATAAGCAACTTTCTGATGGGACAATGATTCTCTCAAATTAATCTTCTAGTCGATCAGTGGATGAAGAAAAAAGAAATCTGACAAAGCTAATATATATACGATATTGACCAAATATAGTCTGAAAAGAACAGAAGTCATCCAAGAATTGGGATCTTACCTCCAGCAAGAACACCGATTTTAATTGCCTTTCCACATCCACCAGACATTAGTGTTGCAGCTCCGCACTGAGAAACTGACGACAGGACGATACAAAAGGTAAATAAATATAAAAATAAAAAAGAGAAAGAAAAAGAATCAGCAACAATGAATGCTTATTTTCATGTGCCAAAAAAAAAAGTTTGAAACAAGAAGCTGTCGGTCTCAACGTGCACGAAAAGCAAGTATTGCGTTACCTCATATCTAAATTGAATTAGGATAAAAACAATCTGGTTGGCAATGGCAAAGAAAATAATGCAACAAATAAGATTGTACCCAACTTCTTCTTTAAAAGAAAGAACGAAAGATGATGGGACAAGAAAAGAAAAGAAAACGATTACTCAGAAACAGAACATAGCAAAATCCCCTTCACCACTTTCAACAGCAACAAGAAGGCAAATAAGATTACCGTCAGAAACAGAGTCAAGATACTCGTATACGAAGAGTGGATGAGTATTAAAAAACCAGAGCAAAGCATAATCCCAAGACCCAAGTACTCAGAAACAAGTAAACAACTTTGTACAACATTTGTCTAAGAATAATCGGGAAAAAAGAAACTTGATTAATAACATCATTTGACATGCTGGTTCCGTCAATATTTAAACGATATATTATGTCCCGTGGGAAGCGCTTATACAACTTCTGCTGGTATCAAAAAGACATAAAACAAGTAAAATGTCGGTGATAGCCCCACTGATAAGAATGACAACCAATCGTGTTAATATCGGGTGCATCCTCATTGTAATCGTTCTCTTCCTTTTGACTACCGCTAAAAACAATTCATTGCCATTGGGTCAGACATGTGATTTGCCAAATATATTGTCTGTACAAATGATCGAGAGCGGTAGCTACAGAATGTTGACCTGGATTTTCCATCTGGCAAGTTATCATTCATAACACAGGGGCACTTTGCCTTTTTAATTACTTCTCGTATTGGGAATAGCACATCAACTAAAATAAACTATTTTTGGGACCATAACTTGGTAAAAATTATTGTACAAAGGACTATGGCAAATCCCTATTAACTTGAAATTTTCCCAGAAACCAATCAATCAAATGGAAAAGGGGTCGAGAGTTAGGTCATAATGTGCTCCAAAAGATTGAGATCTCGATGCCTAGGATATGTGTGACATGATGAGTACAAATCTAAAAGGAGAACCCAACCAGAAAAGACTAACATGTTAAGAGGAAGAATCCTTAGATTTATAAATCCCATCATACTTAACATAACTCCCTAAATGGGACTCAACAATACAGATGGTGAAATGATCCTTAATAGAACAACGTGAAATCAAACAAACGTAGTGTTTCATTGTTTGGAAGTGCCCTCTAAAGTCTAAACAAATCAAGCCTCGCTTTATGGCCATTTGTAAAGTAAATTATATGCACTTAACAGTATTTAAACGATTCTCAAACCAAAGCAATATCCACTACAAAATATGCTACGATCTGCTTTTTCATGAGACATAATCGAGTTGTCTTCATAAGTATGCTTTTCTTTCGTAACAAAAATATTAAGTTTTTCTTCTTTATAGAAATTTTATTTTTAAATTTTACAATCTAGCTATTATTTTACTTTAATGTGTAAAACATTGTTGTTGAAACTCATGAATTTCTAATTCAAATTATAGAATCACAAGTTATATAAGTGTAAAAATACTCTATTATCAAATATATATAGTTTAAAAATATCAACGCATATAATATAAATCAAATCATTATTAAAGTCCAAATTAACCCATTTTTTAAAATTTAATTGAATAAATTATTGTCTAACACTAAATTTAATTTTAAAATGATAATAATAACTAGATATTTGAAATATTATTAACAGTGTAAAAAATTAATAACATTAGAATTATATAAAAAAATTTAAAAAACAAAAAAAAATTATAAAAGGGCCGGCCCATGGCCCTCCAGGGTTAGCCCTTTTAAGCCCTCGGCCCTCCAGGGCTTATTTACCATTTGAAGGGAAAAATATCAAGCCCAGCCCTCATAATTTCAGGGCCTAAACAGGCCGACCCGACGGGCTCAGCCCGTTTTCCCGGCTCTACAACCAGCTACCAATTACTTCCATCAAACACCACTTGCTTCGTCATTATTCCACCAAAAAGAATAACCAATAACAAAAAGCCAGAGACTAAAATATACTCCTCCTGTACTAAAGATAAGACCCTTTTTATAGTGTAATTTATACTATAAAAAAGGTCTTAAATTACACTATAAAAAAAGTCTCATATTTAGAATTGGAAAAATAATTGTATAATAAATTAGGCTAAAGTACATATTTGGTACTTTAATTTTATATAAAGTTTCAATTTGATCCCTTAATTTAAAAAGTATGTTTTTAGTTTTTTAACTTTAAATTTTTTTTAAAAAAATGACGATATTAAGATCTTAAATGTTGATAAAATATTCTCAAATGTTAACATATTAAGTTTAATTTTCAAAACATCATGATGGTTACAAAAAATCATCATTAAAACCTAATGATTTTAGAATTAAAGTACTAAATGTATACTTTTTAAAATTATGAACCAAATTGAAACATTACCAGACTTAAATTACCAAATATATACTTTAACCAGATACTGAAATTAGTCCCAACGAATGGACTCACCTTTCCGGCAACCAACGCCGTTCTTGAAGCCATCTCCGGTGTAACCTTCACGACATTGGCATCGGTACCCGGTCTTCACGCCGCCAAGATTGACTTTGGTAGGGGATGCATTGTCAGAGCATTGGGGGGTTAGACCTTCAAGCCACCACCCCAATTCAAGCACCTGAAGACGGAGCGAAATCGTTGGGTCGTTGCCTTGCTCAATAGCAACCGCAGAGAATAACTTGCACGTAGGTTGATTAACATCCGCTGGTGCCAGAACATCGGAATCATTATTTCTTTGCGAAAAGCAACCGATGTTATGACTATGGCAATTCTCCAAATTGAATAGACTGTGCATCAGACCGGCGGTGGGTATGAAGCAGCCTCCTTGCTGAGACGAACAATTTTGCACCAGAAGGCTATTGTTTCGTGTGGGAGCGAAGTTTTTACTGAAAAGATGCTGAATAGATTTCATACTGCGGTTGCATTTCGCAGGAAGATTGACGAATATACTTCTGGGGGTTACTTTCTCCACCTCGAATTCCCCAATTTTCATGCGGCTGTCGCTGCAATTTAATTTGAGGTGGCACTTCTCAGAGAATCCGAATGGATACAGCACGGAATGTTTTCCACAACTGCGATCACAGTCGCCCGACTTTTGTGCTCTTGTTGAGTGGACGATGAAGATCGTGAGTACAAGAACGAAGTTCCTCCGGTAATAGAACATCTCTTGATGGAAATTGAATTGGTTTGTACTGGGTGTGGAGCAAGCAGCATTACCGTCACTATCTGAAACCTCAAAAAATAGTCCACTAAAATCTCTGATCTCTCATGAAATCATATTATCTTCTTCAGCATCTGAGAGAGTTCCTTGATTAATTAAATGAGAAATTAAAGCTCGTGATTGATGCCGTTGAGCAGCCATCTGTATCAATAAATGCTCATAGAAGAGAGGTCAGCGACAGAAATAATGCCGAAATTTTGTTACAGTGAAAAAAGAGAGAGCTATAAATATCACACCTTCGAGCATCCTGCAATCGTCGAAATAAAGGGCTGTGGCAGTTGGAGAAGTAATTCAGCATAGGTACTCGAAATTTAAGTCTGAGATTGGAATTCCGAAAACAATAATTAATGAGGATCGTCAGGAACGTTCTTTGCCGGAGAACTGATCAAGAAGGCAAACATTAAAACGGACGCACGGCAAATTGATGGATTCTGATTTCTCAGAAGCTTCGTCTCGTTCACACTTTCGCGTCTGGATTTGTACTCCAACGTAAAGCGCATTTATGTGCTCTTGGACTGGGACGTAGATTAAATGACGCATACACCCTTCATTGATTCTCTTCTTCACAAAATATGCCCCTACTCAAAGCCTGAATTACCTGGAATGGACATTTTGGTCCAAAGAAGGCAGTGCTTGACCAATTGCAGAGGTTCATTTGGATTCCACTTGGATAATTTTCTTCTTCTTCTTCTTCTCATCCGCGTAATTCTCTTGTTGAAACTATGTCATAAAATAAATGTTCACTTGGTCTGGTTTGGCTGAATTAAGCGGGAATGATAGCTAATTCATTGAACCTATTAATTATATAACTTAAATTGAGATTTGGCTCACACAAGCATATTAGTATCAATCAAATTCAAATTCAGAATCTCATTTAAGGAGTTGTTATAGTCCTCTGGTCCTATTTATAGTATAAAAGGAGAAGACTTTTTTGGTCATATTTGTAGAGCATTGAAATTTTTGTTGTTGCATGGATGTATAATTTTACCTTTTATTTATGATTGTGCTGATTTTGTTTGCATAAGGTATGGTGTGTATTAAATAGAGATAAAGTTAAAAAGTTATTGAATTTTAAATGAGAATTAATGAAATTTCAGGTTTTTCTTCGTCGTTGTGAAACATGTTGGAAGTAATTTATAATTAGAACCAAATGAATACTTTTAAAAAGTACTTTCACACAAGTTGAGATAAAATTACTATCACATACTTTTTATATCATAAAATTACTTTTAAAATCATGATTTTCACCTACACACCCTCTAAGTATAAAAGATAACATTATCATTGAGATAGTTTGTTGTTAATCAAACAACTTGCAAGATAGATAAGAATTAAGATTATTTACTTAACCCATCATGGTATTAACAAGTAGTTTTGAGTATGAAATTTCCCAAAAGTTTATCCATTTTTACCGGATACTATTATATTTTCCTCGTCAGTGCATATTTGGTCATTGCGTTACTATTTCCTTTCCTAATTGTTATAAAGCTAAAGAAAGGGTAAAAAATAAAAGAAGAAAATAAGAGAATAAAAGATAGGGGTATTTCTTATTCCGTTCAAAGTACTGAATACATGATACATGTCCTCTATTTATAAACATAGTTTTATATCTTTAATAGAATCTACAGATTATATAATAATAGAAGATAATTGTGGATCATGAAGATAATATAAGGAAGAGATATAGACATCCATATAAATATTATTATATTCATAACAAATATTATACTTTATACCTATTTTCATTTCGTTTTTTTTATGCTACTTGTCATTTTTGTAAAAATACTTTCGACACACTTAACATAATACTTTTACAAGTTTTTGCAATTTAAGCTGAATGATCTAGACCTATAATTCCATTTTATGTAATGTTAAATTATAAAAATATAAATTTATTATATTTCAATAAAAAATAAAATAATGCAACCCGTTAGATGGTAAATCAAATGATTATTAGTGATGATTGCAATTGCAGGGATGATGTGCAGCAAAAATACCAGAAAAAGCGAGAGAATGAAGTACAAGTCATAGCCGCCGCCGCCGCCGCCGCTGTGATGGTAAGAAAGGCCACAGACTGCAAGCTCCCAGGATTGACCCGAGATAATGCTCATGCCACTTGAGGATCAAGTTGAGAGAATGTTGTGTATAAGTCCTGTTTATTTATCGGCAGAATTAGATTTAATAAAAAAAAAACTAATCTAAGTTTTGAATTTATTTTTTTTTGTGAACAAAATTTTAGGAAAGGGGTTGGGCTCACCCACGAGCGCCGTAGCTTTACTGGGACGGGAAGAGCTCCACGTGGGGGATCACCACATGTTACGAGCTGAGGCCTTGACTTCGAAGATGCCTCCCCCAGCGCCGCGACTGGAGCCACAACAAAGTGGCACTCCCCAGGATCGAACCCCCTCCCTTTGGTGAGAGTGTCCAACCCCTTCGGCAGCTGAATCCACGGACGAGGGGTTAAGTTTTGAATCTTTAGGTGTTCATATTTAATATCTAACATTATTTTAAATAAAATTTTTCTAATAAAAAATGTTTTTTTAAAAAAAAACAGCAAATATGTAAAATATACAAATATTTTAATAAAATTAAATGGATGGAGATGTTACGAAGTTGGAATCATAATCATATCTCAATCATAAATGTTAGAAGCTCAATTATAAATTTAAAAGATTAGTTTTAAATAAGTTATAAAGCATGAAAATTTTGTACATTATGGATTATTAATTTTAAATCTCTAATTTAGTTATAAAAGATGGAAACTAAGTTATAAAAAAGCCATAAATTAGCAAGACATTTTTGCAGTTGAACTTTCATAATTTACAATTATAGTTTTTGAGATTTACAAAACTTTAACTATTTATAATCAATTTATAACTAAGTTTCTAATCATAATCCTTTTTATTTTTTAATTTTACGACAAGTTTATGGTCTTTCAATATCATTTCTTCATTTTAGTGACTCTTTTGGCTCATTCTCCTTATCAATTTTGCCATAACATATTTTATTATTTTTCCAAATGAGATTGTATATACGGTAAACCAATGTTAACGAGTATGAAAAATACCCACAAATATGCCTTAACTTTCATATTTTATATTATTTTTACAATTTATATTGATGTTGATATACATTTCCTTTACCTATATATTTGCTTTATTTTTATTGAGGTATTTTTTCTAGAGTAAATGTGTATTTAACACCTTGATCTTTTTTTTAATCCAATATCATGATATTATTTTTTTAGTGCATCTAGTACTCCATATTATTATTTTTTAGTTACATTCAATACCCTAATCTTTAAAGTGCTAAATGCATAAAAAAAAAAAAGAGATTAGGCTGCTACATGCATCAAAGAAAATAAGATCAGAGTGTTAGATACACCTGAAAAAAATATTTTTTTTTAAATAATTGAACTTTTAATTTTTACATTTAAATTTTTCATTTTCTCAAAGTTACCAAATCACAAAAAAAAAAAAAAATCATCACTACTTCCTTCTCTTTAGCATGTTAAAAATGTCTGAACCTGGATGGCCGGATCTTGTCCCCACTTATCACAGAGGCAGTCTCATTAGGTGTTACCCTCCGCTACTATTTCGCATGCGAAACCTATGTGGTAAAACGGGAAGCATATAATGTGAATGGGCAGCTAAAGCGTTTAAAAAAGTGGCTTCAACGTACCTCTCTATTAGAAAGCGTACTTATTATTCTATACTATGCAAAAAATATCGTATATTTATAGATTGTGAATAAGTGTTTTTATATAATATTGCACTAATGCTATTTAATAGAGCATAAGATGAGTTGCACTTTTGATTGTTGATAATAGCAAACCTTACTATAAATTTTAGTGTATTATATAACGTATAATAATATAATTACCTCAAATATTAATTCTTCCCATCATAAACATAAAAATTAGATAACTAATTTGTAAAGATTAATAAAATTAATTTGATTATTTATAAAAAGATATGTTTTGGTTTTACTAAAATATTCATTTTAGTTATTTGCATTGGAAACGACTTTCTTCATAGTTAGAAAACTATTTTAATATGTGTAATTAATAGAAAGGGTTTAGAACAAAAAATATTTTATGAAACAAGGTGGATTGAAATTTTATGAATATTTAAGATAAAAATGAACCCATTTATCTGCTCATATTTAGGATTGAATGAAATATATATTGCATAATATTCCTTCCGGTTTTAAATGTAAGATTCATTTTGTAATATAAATTATATTAGAAAATAAGTCCTACATTTAGAACAAGAAATAATATTATGTTGATATACTACCTCTAATTCTTAATATAAGAGCTTGTTTGACTGTTATTTTGATATTAAATATAAGACTTTAATCCACTTTGTCTTTCATATTTTTTTTCCAAAGTAATCCTTGCAATAATAGTAGTTCTAGGTCATACACTTGGTTAATAAGGATATTTTAAGAAAAAAACAACACATATTTATTATAAATAATTAATTTAGCTATTTTTTTAATATACTTAAATTAGTTAATTAATTTTTCATATTAGCAGGGTTAGTGTCATATATGAACGGGGGAGTGCCATGACACCATCGTTGACTGGTTATTATGGGTTATTATGGGGTGTAGCAAGTGGACTCGTTAAAGGCACAATTTATAGTTTTGGATAGGCATGGTGGGGAATGGGGATGCCGGCGGAAGCCCAACTCTCTGGTCCACTGTAACTCCATATTTTCAAACTTATTCATATGGTCAATTTTGCCCATCTATTCTGATTTCATCTAATTAAATCATTAGATTTAAATGTGAGTAATTGCTTACTCATTCGGAACTCATAAATAATTATGCGTATAAGCCATGTCGTTTTTACATTATATATCTTATTTTCTAAATATATAAACACAAATATTTTTATTTACAAATCTGTTTTTTATTTAAAAATAGGTAGGTTAAATTCATCCAATAAAGAGTAGAACAGAAATTCAAATCCCAAAAAATACATTTGTTGAGAGAGTTTTAACTTAATGCTCTTGACCAAACAAAAATCAATTTTAAACCTAGCTAAAGTGACTGGAAAAAGTTCTGAGTTACACCAAAGAAAAATAGCTGGGTTAAATAGGTTATTAGTGTTGAGATAGGTCCCGTGACTAAGCACCTCGTAACGTACCCTTTTTTTCCCATGCATAAATAGGTTTTGACCATATTTGACTTGCAAATAACAATACGTTTTTGTAAGAATAGTTGGTTTGAGATTATATAATTTCCATGGTCTTTTGTCATTTTCACTATACTTATTTGCTTCGCCAACAATTTTTTCCATCAATAACTTTTATGAACTGATTCACAAGATAACTAAAATCAGAAATAAGCCTAAGTGTATTGAAAATTAGATCCGTAACTGGTGAAAACAGTGGTTTAAAAATAAGTGATCTAGCATAATTAAAATAGGTCAACTCTCATGTCATGATTAAAATGATATAAATTAATTAAAATATAGAAAAATTCATATATAACAATCAAAAGAATAATATTTAAATAAAAAGATATTAATTTACAAGTAAATGAAACATTAATGTATAAATAATACATAATCCAATAAAACAAAGTTATTAAAGCCCATATCTTCATGGCATTTTTTTTAATTCTAAACTCAAAATAATATCATTCTAGGTTAGGAATAAATATAAAATTCAACTCAATCAATCGATTCAAAACTCTTAATCAATCAAGAGACCAATTTGCTAATTTAGTGGTGGACTTACCGGACGAAGATTTAATACCTTCAATTATATGCAATGTTAGATGTTGACGGTGATGATAAAGCCAAGCAGAAAAGCGAAGAAGATTAGGCCAATATACAGTTTAAAAACATTAATAGTGGGCGATACAGAAAATTAATCAAGTCACAGTCACTTTTGGGATTCATGTGAATCGTACAGACATGCATCCCCTTTCTTTGGACGTTCACATTCAGCAATTTCCATCACTTTTTCTTCCTCTGGCATGGTCCCATCAGAACCAAACCTTTTGACTCAGTCTCGTGCTGAAGATGCCACGCAATTCTCAGCATGTGACCCATTTCTTGACTAGCATCTCCTTTTTCCCTCCTTATCATGTCACTTTTTGCTTGATTAACCCAGATACGTGTCTTCCACATATGAAAAATCCAATTTTCTATCCTTCCACGTACGTAAGAAAGCCAAAGCACCAATCAAAACCTGTCAAGTGTGATTTTGGCCGACGAGGGGGCCAGTGATGATGGGGTTTGTCGTAAAGTCGTTTTGGGGCAAATTAATGGAAGACGTGTAGCGTCATGGGCATCCTGCTTTGTTTGTTGAGCTATCAGCATTTAATTATTTGGACGCAAGAGCCAAGAGCCAGACATAGTCAGGAAAATCTTAGGGTCTCTTCCTTTGCAAGTTACAACGTTGAAACAACTAACCCCCTGCTCTGGGAAATTTCCAGTACCTGCATTATTGTTATTGGCTGTGGTTCTTTCATGCGAGAGATATTTTTGGTTCCAAATGAATGATTCGCTTTTATAAAGCTTGAAGGGCACACATATTTGTAAGTTCCTTTTTGAAATCTTCAGAATTTAGGCTTCAAAAACAATACATGGCGGTGATGATGCTCATGATTCTGCTACAAAATAATATAAAAATCATAAATAATTCTAAATTTATATAATACACACCAACTTTTTTAAAAAAAAAAAGAAGATAGAAGACCACAATAACAACAAGAACACAAGAATTATAAAGTGAAAAAACTTAGAACGACGTAAATTTGATTATAATACCCTAAAATAGGATTATTATAGTCTGCCAGCCCCTGGTCTCCTTGTGGATATTCCGAGCGTGGCCCATAGTGCCACACAAGACTATCATATTGCCTTTCGTATTTGCTTTAGCCCCAAAAAAAAATGCTTCGCATTTATAAAAAAAAAATTCCTCACCAAAAAAGAAGAAATTGGGGGAAAAAAATTATTTCATGTGTGCCAAAATTTAGAAAAAAAAATAATTATGTGATACGCTTACCTAAAATTTTATTGCGATTTGTGACGCAAGGTTAAGATTTATAAATGTATCTTCAAGATGGTGATTCATAGTACATGAATAAAATTTTTAAGACCAAATTCGCGGCAACAATATCCTTCTAGGGACATCAAAAATATTATTAAAAGAAAGTTATATTTTCATCCCTTCATAATAGATATTAGGTGTTTGCTACCTACTGCTTGTATACAGAAAATTCATGCGATTACCCACCTCACTTTGAGGAAGGAGAGGACGTCTTAGGATGGGAAGATGGTAATAAAGGACACTTTTCTGTTTCTGCTATATATATGAAACCTGCACAGAGAGAAAGTGGATGCAGGGACTGTATTTGGAGATTCTCGTGGGGCTTGAAGGTTCCGAGACGTATACAGGTTTTCTCATGGATTGCCATTCAGGGAGGCTCCTTACAGCTTTAGACGAAATAGGTTATTTGATGGGGAACATAGATGCTTGAGATGTGGAGCTAATGTTGAGGATCTAAGTCATGTTCTGAAAAACTGCCCTGTGTCAAGAAAAATCTGGAATGACTTGGGGATAGCTAACTCTAACGTGCAGTTCTTTAATGACAAGAGAGAGTGGTTTATGCACAATCTGAAGAGCAGTGGCGATTTTTTTTTATACAAAAGAAAGGTGAGTTAAATTATATATCGTCTACTAACAAGGTTTTCACGTTAACAATAAGATTTGATCTTACAACTTTATAGGTCATGAACTGACTTCTTACAAATTGGATTAACTCTTGTTGGTGAGCAGTGACGATATGAGTATGTTGTTTGGGGTTTTGTTGTTGGTGGTTGTGGAACTGAGGGAACCTTGCTAATAAAAGCCTAGAATATGGGAAGGATTTATGTAAACTGGAAACTCCTCCTACTGATTTACTTACTTTTTTTTTTTTTGGTATATGATTTACTTTCTGGACTCAACAAGGACTTTATGGGAGTGGCTACTCGCCCATATTGTATGTCTGATGGATTAGATGATTGGGCGTTTGCCCCGTTCCTTGCCCGAAAAAAAAGGGAAGAAAAAGATATTAGGGTCCGTTTGGTACCATGGAATTGATTTTGATGGAAATTGAAATGGAGATGGAGATGGATATGAGGTTTGAAAACATGTTTGGTATAAGTATGGAAATCTAATTTAAATTTTAATTAAAATATATATTAAAATGTGTAAATACTAAAACACCCTCAAGAATTCAAAAAAAGAAAAAGCACCTCCTCCGCCACCTGAATCTAACATCGAGAAGTCTTTGCCCAACATCATCAACAATGTGGTGTAAATAATCAATCTACGAGCATCGATTATCACCAGGAAAAAGAAACGCACATGTAGAACAGTAGAAGCAAAAATCATGGTTCTTCTGATATGCAAAAATTGATGGAACTTCAACCAAAGAAGTAAAAATCATTTTTCTTCACAGATGCAAAAATTGATCGAGCTTCAGAACAAACGATTTCTTTAGAACTGACAACCCATGTTTTCAAAGGTTAATTTTTCAATGGTTTTGTCCATTTTGTCAGATTTGAAACTATAAAATCAGAGCTTAGTTTGAAGATTAGGCCTTTAGGCGAACAGAGTTTGGGTCAAAGGATAAAGACTTCTAAGAGGTAGTTGTCGCTATCGCCTTCAAGCTGTCGGAACAAAGGCCGGTAGTCGCCAGTGATGAGCTTGAAGGTCGTTGGAGCAAAGGTGGGTAGTCGCTGGTGATAAGCTTGAAGGCCTTCGGACTTTCGTTTGCATCTGGTTAAGGAGGGTAAAACGAAAGTAGGGAGATGGAATTACAAATCTTGGGTGTGAGGGTGCAGGCCAATTCCACCACTTTTGGTGGAAATGGAATTGGAAAATTTTCCAATTCCATCATACCAAACCAACATCTTGATGGAAATCAATTCCATTTCCATTTCCATACCTCCCAATTCCATCATACCAAACGTGGCTTTGCAAATAGTTGTTAACAGAATCTGCCCTTCAAGGAGATGTGGGCTTGACTTCGTTCTGGCACGTAATTGGCCCGGCCCATCTATTCTATCTTAGTTCACATGGACCCAAAAAGTGGTTTTTTTTTTTGGGGGGAGGGGTGTTGGAGAAAAACAACAAGAAGAGGAAGAAAGGCATTGCCCAGTGAAAAAAGACCTCGGTGGGAGCGCATCATTAGCATAAACCCTAGACGGTGTTCCCGGAGATTCAAAGGAGAGGGAAACTGGAAGTAGAATCAGATATGTCGGACAGAGAAGACGAGAATGACGCGCCCGAGGAGTTTACAGCCGACCAGGTATCTTCGCTGTTTTTCTTCACCCCAGTTATTCAACTAATTGGTCTGGACGAACGTAATTTGTATTGACCTCATAATTTTGCTTTTCGCAGGGCGCACAACAGGAAGAGGAAATAAGGAAAATTCAGAAAGAAAGTAAAGTGAGGTAGTCCCCTGTGTATAATGAATCACATGTTCATTTATAAGATATGGGAAAGTAGAGTTGTGAAAGAGAGAGTTTTTCACCAAGTATGTTAGTGTAATTTGTATGAAATGTTTGGCACAAAATATTTCAATCACGGTGTGGTTAGACTCAGTACCTAAGGTATATTAACATATCGAGGAGAAAAAAGAAGTTAAAATCGAAGTGACGGTGAATTCAACACAATCTGTTGATTTTACTATGCATTCATTATATTAGTTGGCATCAAGATGCTTTAAGTCCTCGAAGAATTAGTATACTATGCTCTTTAGACTGGAATTACTTTTGGTAGCCCCTCAGGCCTCAGGGTACGTGGAAGGCCTTTTCCGTTGGAGTTTAAGAAACTAGTGTGAGTTCCATGCATCTGTACAAGCTCAGGATGATCAGTTCCCTCTTTCTGTATTTGTATATTGATTGATGATTGGTTAAAGAATACATATTCACTTAAGAATGCAGCCATTTGTAAAATTTTGGACATATTGCTGCTGGATCCCACGGACCATTATTTACTAGGATGTTGCTATGGGATATTAAATTTCATGAGAGATTGAGGGTTTCCCGTTTCGATCCTTGGTGTTTTATTTTGTCTAGAGGTGTAATTTGTCGATTAGAATAATTTACATCTGTAGGCAAACAAAGAAATCCAGGGGTGGAAACACTCAGCCTTTCAAGGGATTGAGCTTGTTGATTACAACACTCTGTGTACCAGCATTAGGCATTTATTGAACTGTATCTGCACATATCCCTGTTACTAAACTTACTGCTCCTTTTTCATGGTTGAATCCAAGTTTAAGATATGGCATCATGCTCTTCAACTTAAATGCTGTGGTGTTTAATATTAGCGTGCCTTGTAGGGTTGGTCGTGAAAAAAAAGAACGTAGGAGAAAATTGGCTCAGAGGTTAACCCCCGACCGCCCAAAAAAGGGAAAAGACTCCCAGGATGTATCAGAAACCGAAACTGAGCAAGCATCAACAGAAGATGCAGGATTTCTTCCGGACAGCATTGTCCAGATGATTGCAGCGAGGGAGAAGTATGACATATCTTCTATGTTTAGCCCAATATGTATGGTTGTTTATATAAAACCTCTCACAAAAGGGCTATAATTTATTTGCAGACAGGTTCTCTTATCAGGCTCGGATGATGAAGATAAAGTTGAGCCTACTTCAAGGAAGAAAAAGTCGACGAAAACACGGTAAAATTATCATAATTTCCATCACGAGACACTGATAATCTTCTTAGTGCTTTTCAACCTTTAGTTATTTTGGGTTCCTTTTGTTATCTGCAGCTTGGATGATGAAGATGGTCCTGTCATTTTGGACGACATTGGGCCCCCTCCATGTTTACAGAAGTCCTTAGAATTCTTGAAGAGAAGGAAAATGGAGGTTCCGAGATCATCGTCAGTTTTGAACAATTCCAACCGAGCATTACGTCTGCTAACTGGCTCAGGTGTTCTGGGTCGAAACTGAGGACTTGTTATCATCTGTTTTCTATCATAATTCTTATCCGCAATTGTCATTTCTCTTTTGCAATGCTATTATCGATATTGAATAGAAAGAGGCGAATATATTTTCTCGAAATTCTTCATGTCCCGTTTTTGAAGAAAGCGGAAATAGAAGGAAGATTTAAAATACTTTTGGGATGGTATGTCAATGAAAAGGGGATAAAAAATTGTGAGAATTATTGAGGTCTAGAGAAAGAAAATAATTATTAAAAAGTCAATGAGAAGTGGGTAGTTGAAATCTATTACTCCTCCGGTCCTAATTATAAGACCCTATTGACTTATTTGAGGAGATTAAGGAAGTAAGTTAAGTTGGTTATTTATAATAAATAAGTGTTGTCATTCCTAAAATATCCTTGCTAATTAAGTATATTGGCTAAAACTCATTATTAGAAGGATTATTTTGGAAAAAAATGTATAAATATAAGAGACAAAATGGATTGGGGTCTTATAATGAGGACTAAATAAAAAGTCAAATAGGGTCTTATAATAAAGACCGGAGGAGTATCATTTTTTATACTAAAATTTGTAATTATGAATTACTTAAATTATGAGATTTTTGTGTAAATATGCAGGTGTAATTCTCTCAAAATTTAATATCCATGAAAATATCAGAACACCCATGAAATTAAAAAAAAAACCATCGAAGGTAGCACTAGGCATGGCTAGAAGAGCCATCATGAACCACTGTCAGCGATCAAAAAGAACCACCATCTGAGAGCAAAAACCAGCGATCTGAGGAGAAAGACACTCAACACCCCACCATCACATAGTAGAAATCAAACAAGTAACCCAAAATATCACAATAGCGTTCAACAAGCAATCCAGAATAGATTCAGTCAGAGAAACGATTTGGACTTATGGAGAATACAGCGAATATTTGAGATGGAGTATGGCGTCATGGAACATCGCCTCGATGATCTGGAGCATGCTGTCGAATGTGGGAAATCAAAGAAGGGATGAAGAATGGAGCAGGTGTTAGACGTTGCTGGTGGGGAATCACGCCGCCATCGAACAAGGCTGTGTAGACTGAAGAAGCTTGGGTTGGAGATCGCATCTTTGAGTTGGAGATTGAAGAAGCACAATGATAGTGAGGGGTACCGGAGATGGCGATGGCGACGGTGAAGGAGTTGTCTGACTGGTTAAGGAGGTTGAAGAAGCGCAACGGTGATTGGGTGTGAAGGAGGAACCAATGTCCACTATTTTAGTAAAAATGGTACAAAAAATGACAATATAACCTTGTTTACCAATCAGACCCAAATAATTTTTAAAATACAATACAGGATTTTGAGAAAAATAAAAAGCTAAAATATATATTTAGTCTCTTAATTTTATATAGAGTTTTAATTTGGTCTTTTACTTCTAAAAAAATATACTTTTAGTCATTTAACTCTAAAATTGTTTAAAAAAGAGGATGACATTAAAACTTAAATGTTGATAAAATATTCTAAATGCTAATATATTAAGTTTAATTTTCAAAACAACTATGATTGTTACAAAAAATCACCATTTAAGTCTAACAATTTTAGAATTAAAAGACTAAATACATACTATTTAAAGTTAAGAGATCAAATTGAAACATTGTGTAAAATTAGAAGAGCAAATATGTATTTTAACTAAAATAAAATTTTGAGACAAAATGATTGAATTAACCCCACAAAGTAATATTCAAGTTACTAGAACTAGTTAAAATCCTTCTTGTCTATCATCAATAGACCTCGTCAAATATCAAAAGGAAAACGCAAATGCAAATCTTGAGATTATGTGTAAATGCACAAGAGCAAGCTTGTTAGTTATGCATGTTTGTTGAAAAAACTAACATGACTCGTCAATTTCTTTAAAATCTTGGAAGTGTATATTTCATAATTCTTGAGTTGGTAAATAAGGTTCTAATGTGGTCTTTTACCGAAAATGCTTCCAAGGAAAAAATAATATTAATAATAATTTAATAAACAAAGATATGCCGTATAAGGAAAACCACAGCCTCTGCACATCATGATTGTTGATTGATAAGGCCAATGGTATAAAGATTGTCCTCAATTCATTGATAGTGATATATTCTCTAGAATATGTAAAGTCAGTATAAACCAAATGAGGACTCAGCCACATGTTGAGTTCACTGGAGGAGTCAATTAAAAGAACATGCCAGGGATGATGGCTATCTAGTGCCATCCCTGCGGCAATCCAAAAATAACAACTTACCAACATCACAAAATATTCACAAACACTGCACGTACACAATATGATGATCAAACAAAGCATCTAGAAGACACACTTCAACTTACACAAGCAACCAAGTAGAAAATAGACCAATGCATACTCATCTGAAACGAAAAAAAATGTGGCCAAGGCACAAACAAATTTACAAGGAAGCTATATATCTCATACGAACAGGATTTGCAGCAATGAGCTGCTTCCCCACGGCTCTTACTGCTTCAATCAGAGCACCAGCCTGATTAGTGTGGGGCACCCGTGGTTGAGAAGTCACAGATCGAAGCCCTTCTGCTGTCTGCTTTGCTGTGGCCTGGGAACCTTCAATTTTACTGCACCACATATAAAAAATACAGAAATTAGTTCTCCATCTCACAAGACGGCATCCAACACTTTACTCATCCAACTTTATAAATGATAGTGAAGAAAATTTGCCGTTTCTTAAGCTGATTCAAGAAATCATTAACAAGGGACTGAACATCAGGCATTGTGATACCTGATTTCACCTGAAACGTAAAAAATGTCAGGGCCTTATATGAATATAGAGTAAGATCATGCCTAAGCATCACAATAGAATGATGGGTCTTCACTTCGAGGATTGTCAGCCATCTGGTTTTTTCACCAAGATTTCTCAACAACCAAACTTCAGAGGGGAAAAAAACAGATAAAACCCCTATTTCAGCCAAGTGTCAAATCATGCCTCAACTGAAATCATTGCTAGAAAATGCCAAACAAAATTCAAAATCAACCAGAAATGGGGATAATGTATTGCATGCAGCTGTATAGTTGCAAGATTGCAGCTTTAATTTGGGATTACAGAGATCCACTTCTGAACAGGAGTTGGATTAGAATTCCAAATTTCTAAAATGACAACATGTTCTTGAGATTTCAGGTGCAGAATTTTACTACAAAAACCCAGATTTAAATTCTTTGTTAATCTTGGGGTAAAATAGTAGTTTAATAATCTCTTTCAAAGAAAAAAACTTGGATCAGTTTTTATTTTTATTCCTATAAATGCATGAGGATGAACACAAATGGGGTAAGGCAGGGTTGACAATCAACCCAATGCCAAGCCCCAACTGATGTCGTGTTCTGGTCATGTCCTGACAAATCCAGAACAAGACCAAATCACTCTAGACCAGTCCAGGCTGGATAGCATTTAGGAGTACCATAACTTTTCCCCCCTTAATTTTGTACATTTTTCCCCATAAGATGAACACCATTTTGACGCAAACAAAAGCGCAAAAGCCGCATCAAACCTTGGCACACAAGAAGTCCAAAAGCTGAATCATACTTTGGAACATATAAAGGCCAAAAGTTGAATCCATCACAGTTCATTAATTCACCTAACTGCGCAAACATAACCAAATATGTAATGATTCTGTGCAACACTATTACATGCAATTCTGCTACATTTGAAACACACACAAAGAGGTTGGATAAGTATTGCCATGAAGGCAAAGAAACCAACCTCCGTTTTTTGATAAATCTCAAGTAGTAGTAGAATAACCAAATAATCACTATCACATTAAAAAACAATCAAGCATTAATTCTAGGAGGCTACCAACACAAATGCAAAATGATAAAATGCATGGTACAACTGACGATTTACAACACAGCCAGGCTATAGCCGAATAAGCATGAACCTGTGAGTTAGGCCTCAATTATGAAGCTGACCTATATTTTGGTCCAATTCTGAGCCCACCAAAGGGCTGGGCCATGTTAAGGCCCAGGCAACTCAGATAGTTGCCTTAAGCCCCTCAAATTATAACCAAATAATCACTATCACATTAAAAAACAATCAAGCATTAATTCTAGGAGGCTACCAACACAAATGCAAAATGATAAAATGCATGGTACAACTGCGATGGGCGAACCTGTTTGCCGGAAAATCCCTCCGGATCGTACTTCGGAAGAGGGGACTTTGCAGATTCAGTCAAAAAAATCAAAGAAGGAGATCAAGGAAGACACACTGATGTCAGATAAAATGGAAGATGCGGAAGGTTGTTTCGATGAGAATGTGCCCCAGATGTCTAAAGTGCACAGCAGCGAAAAAGAACAGGGGAGGTCATATCGTGATTCCCTCTTGGGTTTCAAAGCCCAGGGCTTCAATGGGATTGCTCACAGTAACTCAACTATGGAAGAAGACCCATTGCTATCTGACTTATTAGATCAAACATGGAAACTACCAGAACCATCGGAAGATATCAAGAAATTAATGGAAGTGTACCCGGTAGTTCCATGCACTGAGGAGGAGTTCAATGAATGTTGCCAACCGTGGAATAATGCACTAGTTATCACAGTTCTTGGTGCGAGGTTCCATTTATCCAGATTAAGAGACCAGCTATCCAGGATATGGGGATTCAGTGATTTTGAGCTTATTGACCTCCCAAACAATTACTATGTAGTTCGTTTTGGTGACGATGAACTTTGGGGAGCAAGATACAAGAAGGTCCTTTTTGAGGGTCCGTGGATTATAGCTCAACACAGTGTACTGGTTCAACGATGGTCTCCCTACTTCGACCCTTTCTAGAACCCACTAGGGAGAATTGCCACCTGGGTGAGGATACCAAATATACCTTTGCACTGCTACTCAAAGAAGTATATATGGAGACTAGGAGACATGATAGGAAAGACAATAAAGGTAGACATGCACACGATAGCGAATATCGACGAGTCCAAAGCAAAGGTGGAAAGAGGACGGTTCGCACGTATCTGTGTGGAATTGGACCTGCAGAAGAAACTGGTACCAAGAATAATCTGCACTTCGGCACTGTATAATGTCGAGTATGAGGGTCTGGGCTGATATGCTTCTCGTGTGGTAGGTACGGGCACCGAAAAGAAGCTTGTCCATGGAAGCCCAGCTCA